CCATAAAGACGTCTGTATACACTGACTGTATGATAGGCAATACAATTTCTTTTCTTTAGATCCTAGAAATGAATAGTCCTCCAAACTCTGAAACTAAAGTAGGCATGAATTCAATAATCTGTATCATTTCTAATGTTTTTTAAAATTATGTTTTTCTCTGTAAAATGTAAAAGTAGACATAGTCATGAAGTTATTATTGTATTATATCCCATTTATTTATTTTAAAGATTAAAAAGCTAACAAAACAACAATGAAGACAAAATTGAAATGACACAAAAACAATAAAAATGATGTCTGTGATTTATTGAAAGGAACAGTCAATGCTTAAACTTTTCTTTTTTCTTGACCAATTCTTCACGCTTGAATCTGATCATCAGAACAACTAACTATATTATGAACAAATCATTTTTAATTGTTTTAATTTTCTTACACCTAGCATTTTACAAATTTATTTTGCCATTATACTATTTTCTTGGAACACCTATTAGTGTTATTAATGGAATACATTTTGAGACAGGTGAATTTAGTCATTAGGGCAAGGTACTGTTCAGTATCTAAGTGTTTGTCTTCTTTGAACCATAGCTGCCATTATCCTGAAGGAAAAATGTTAACCAGCTTAAAAGGTTGTGAGTTTATGTCTTATAATGTGTAAGATTCATGTTTAGGAGAACTGAATTTGAATTCCCTTTCTGCCGTTTGTAGCTGTGTGTCCCTGACTGATGCCTATTGTCTGTATGAACACGTCTCAGTGTCTATGTATATAATAACATCCTTTGTATATATCTCACACAATTGCTGGAAAAATCCATTAAACAACGTGGAAAATTAGAAATGCTCTCAGTGGAAGGTAGTATTACTCATACATTAGGAAGAGCAATTGTAGGAGAGGTGAATTTAGAAAAGGGCCACATAGAGGTTGAGCTATAGCTGCTTTCTTTCTCATTGAGCAAGTTAGGACCATATTGTCTACCTTCCTGAAAATATCTTTAACTCTTGAATTTCTTTTTTTTTTGGTTTTTCTCCGGTACCAGGAACCGAACTCACGACCTTGTGCTTGCCAGGCAGGCGCTTTGCCGCTGAGCTAAATCCCCAGCCCCTTGAATTTTTTAATAATTAAAACGATTCCTAGATGAATGTTCTCTGAATGTCAGTACTCCATTTTTGTCACTGTTCTTACACATGCTTACAGAAGCCATTTTGCAATAAGATACGAAGTTTAGTATCATGTGGCTATGTCTGGTGCTACTCAATAATGAATTATAATTATGTATAATGGCAAAATCTAGATGACATTTAATTAAATAGCTCTAGTTTTAATGTTCAGACTTTTCTGTCTGCCTTTTTTTTCTGGTAATGAGTAATAAACCTAGGACCTACACACTGAGCTACAATCTCCAATCCTTTCTTTATTTTTTATTTTGAGACAGGATCTTGCTAAATCACTAAGTTGCCCAGGTTGGCTTCAAATTTGTGGTCTTTCTGCCTCAGCTTGTCTGATTTCCTTTTCTTTTGGTACCAGGAATCGAACTCAGGACCTTGCACTTCCCTGGCAGGCACTGTGCTGCTGAGCTATGTCCCTGATCAAGCTTCCCTGATTTCTGAGATTACCTGGCCCACAATTCAATACTTTGTCTAGCTGTAATATATTTTTTCTGTTAGGAGACATGTTCAACAGTAAACATTAATGTAAAGGATAAGAAATATCTTGAGTTACTCTTGCAGTATTATTTTTCCATTGTTTTATTGATTGGTGTCATTAGAGACAGAGTATACTTTATTTCGCTTGCCCATATTATGCTATCTACTACCTAGAATCTACAGTTAACAGTTTAGTGTATTTGCTGTGTCATATAGCAATTCATGAAGTCAGTGTATTATTCAGCCATCATTCATTCTTTTTTATGTATTTCAGAGTAAGTTGTCCTATCAGTAACATTAGTCCTGAACTCTTCAACATACATAACATTAGCTAGAGTTCAATATTTGATTATAGTTCTTGTTTTGAGATAAAATTTACAATGAAATGTACCAATCTTAAGTATACCATTTAATAATACAATACTTGTATAATTAAAAACTTGCTGAAGGTAAAGGATGTTACCATCATTCCAGAAAGTTTCTTCATGTGCCTGGAATGTTGAGTCATGTCCACATTCCTGCCCTCAGAGGCAACCAGTCTCATGATATTTTCATCATACTTAAAGTTTTAGTAGAATTTTTATAAATGGAATAATACAGTATATATTCTTCTGGATAAGGATTCTATTCATCTGTGTTGATCAGTATACCAGTAGATCATTCTTTCCATTGTTGAGTGGTATTTATCCTGTAGATATATCCTAGCTTGTTTGTCTAATCTATTGACACATTCTGGAATTATTGTTACCATGGGACTGTTGATGAATAAAGTTGCTATGAAAAGTCTTTTGTCACTCTTTTTGTTGTCACACTCTTTTGTGTCAGTTGCCTAGGTATGGATTTACTGAATTACTGGATCTTAGGACAGATGTATAGTGTTTTTTTTTTTTTTTTTTTGTACTGGGACTCAAACTCAGGAAGTTTGCTTGCGCTTGCCAGGAAGGCACTTGTGCCACTGAGCTATATCCCCAGCCTCAGATGTACAGTTTTGTAAGTAACTGCCACATATTTTTAAAAAGGGTTCGTACCATTATATACTTCCATGGGAGATAAAAAAAAAGCATCCTGGCTCTCCTACCATTGCCCTCAGTTGTCACTATTCTGATAGATGTGTGCTGGTTCTCATTGTACTTGTTGTTGTTGCTGTTGTTATTAGCTCTTGCTGTGTTGTCCAGGCTGACCTGGGACTTGTGATGCTCCTGTTTCAGCCTCCTGAGTAGCTGGAAGTACAGGCATGAAGCATGCCACCCACCTCTCATTATACTCATTTCTCATGAAAATTTTTATGTGCACTTACCTCCTGGCTTTCGATAGTGAACACCTTTTCATGTGCTCATTAACGTCTTTGTGAAGAGTCTATTCAGCTCTTTGACCATCTTAAAATTTGAGTTTTTGTTTTATTAGGGTGAACCAGTTCCTTATATAGCCTAGATACCAGTACTTTGTTCAGAATATTTTTGAATATTTACTCCTACATTATGACTAGGTCACTCATTTTAAAAAATGATGTTTTGTGAAGATTTTCATTTTGATTTAGTCTAATAATGTATGACTCACTTTATTGCTACTATTAGCAGTATATATATATCCATTCCCAAAGAATTTACATTGATTTTTAAAGTTGGACACATTTGTTAGTCAGGGTTATTCACCTGTAACCTTGTGATTGCTCAAAAGCAATTAGAGTTATCTCACAGAAAATATAAAGGCAATGACTAGCATTTTCCCTCCAATATGCAGGATAATTTGTGGCTCTGTTGAGTGCTATGTTTGGAGGATGGGAAGTGATAACAGAAGTGTGTTATTCTCATGAAGGGAGAGGAGGTTATAAACTGTTAGGGGGAAACTACCATTGCTAATACCCATTTATTTGCCTTCATCTTTTCCAGACTTGCCATTGCTCTTTCTCTTTTTGTCATTCTGTGATGTAGGGATCACAGCTTCCAAGTTTCCCCACTTGGAAGGGGTGACCATCTATAATTAGTAGTTTAGTACTTTAGCTGAAACTCTATCTAAATTCTGAAGGCTACTCTAGATTCTAGGCTCAGTATAAATTTACATTATCTATGAAAGAGCCATCAGGTGTAAGCAGTGATCTGTATCAACAGACCTACTTTGCCAAGTGTTTAATTCAGTCTTTTTCTCTGTTAGAGCAAAGCAATGATTATTTGATAAGATATACTTTGATCCATATCAACAATTGATTGAAGAGAATTATACCAGAATTTTGAGACAGTGTTCATTCACATGGAATAAAAAATTGGGGTATAACAGAAAATATTTTTGTTTCATTTTATAAAGAACTTTTATGGATTTTTATTTCACTAAAGATACAGAGGAGCAACTAGTGAAAATGGAAACTAAAGAATGGAAACTAAGAATTTCAGGGCTGTTCAGTGACACAGAGCCTACCTGGCAAGTGTGAGGTCCTCAATTTGATTCTTGGTACCAGAACAAAAGAAGAAAGAAATGAGTTTCTAGTACTAGAATTAGAATGTGTATTGTAGGTGGGATCCAGTGTCAGACACAGTCAACTAAATGTGAATAGCTTTGGAAGGATTGGAAAGACCAACATTTATTGCACAATTAGAGTTTTTGTTGCCTAAAAATCTCTACTTAAGTCCAAAACAGAGCAATCATTACTGGATTGTGTAACAAAGAATACTGGTTACAGCAATTATGTGAGGGAATTTTGTTCCTATTTTATGTATCATATCTTGATAAAAATAACTGTGTCTCAGGATTTACTTTTATTTTATGTACAGTGACCACTTCGTCTGCTTTATGTAAAGTAACCCACTGTGTGTGTGTGTGTGTGTGTGTATGTGTGTGTGTGTGAGAAAGAGAGACAGAGACAGAGACACAGAGAGACAGAGAGACTTCTTTTGATATGGGAGGCTAGTGTGGTGATGACAGAGATGTAACTGCTTTCAGAAAATTTAGCAGGTGTGTATTTATGTGCATGTGCACATGTGTGCACATGTGTGTGTGTGTATATGTGTCTTTGAGCTCTATTAGGGTATCTTTCTAGGCATTTTTGTGAACTGAGGAGTCATATATTCATGTGTCTCACTCAGTGCTATGTAAGAGGGTCCACATGATCAAGAAAGGAAACTCTAATAAGTCCAAATATATTTTTAAGTCATAATATGACAGAAATTTTCCTTTGGTATTAGAGTCCCAAGTTTATTTCAGCCTGTTACTTTCTCTTATGTTAATACCCCAATTATGTGAACTTCTTCACTCTTGAGGCAGCAGTATTAGACAATAAAATGAGTTTAAGAGTCAAATATAGTTCAGTTGATGATGACTGCTGATTTTATTTTTATACTGTTTTCATTACTCTTATTTTATTTTTACAGAAGAAGCTACTATGGCGGAAACTGGGCCAGTTTCAGCTTTTCTGGACTGTTGTCCTGGATAAAGGAATATCAGGTAAAGTTCTTATCTGATGTCTTACTTTGCTAGGCTATGTTTTGTGCCATATAATCCCTGCTTTGAAAAAAATCCTAATCTTTGAATTAATGTAGGCTTGATATCTTATTTCTGTGCACTCATTTGACAAATATATGCACAATCACTTTTTATCTACTTTTTTCTGATGCCTTGATAATACAGATATAATTTTTTAAGATGGATTAGAGTAATTATAAAAACTTGATTTTATTCCCTAGTTACTCTGTCTAAATATAAGACCAACATTTTTCCTAACCCAATTATCTTTTACAAAAAATACCCCATTCCTTATAAAGTCTCACAAATTACTAGTTAAAGTTAGTATATTTTAAACCACAACAACAAAAAAGCACCACAACTCTTTGGGGAATATGCATTCATTTGAAATGATCTCTGTCAGTAGTGGCTTTTGTATATTCCTCTACGGCACTTGAGAGAATCAATCAAAAGAAAAAAAAAATAAAGGCAATAACATCTCCTAAGGGTAGGATCGTAATACTATAGCTGTTGATTACCAAGATTTAGAGATCACTTATTTCATAATATGGACAGTTGGTTATGTTAGAGTTTTGCAATTTTTATAGACAGATTTGTAAAACATTCTAATTTTACATGAAAGGGCACATGTGGCTGGAAGTGTAATTCCTTTTGGGAACATTTTACATAAAATCAGAAAGTGCTTTATTTAAAAATTTCACCTGTTTAGAAAGCAGAAGGATATATTTCAGAAAACTCTACCCAGCTAAGAATAAGATGGCTAAGATTTTTTAAGCATTTACATGCCAGCCATCATATTAAGCATTGTAATTGTGTTGACTGATTTAATGGTCTTCATTACTGATGTTCAAGATGCAGTGAAGTTACAGTCTTAATAGCATTGCATGAAGTGTGTATGGAAGAATAAGCAATACTTGTAATGTAACACTTTACGTAGTAATTCAAACTGTATGTAAATCAAGATTGATATAAGTAGACATGTAGCTGTTTTATTTATGTGCCTAAAATACTCATATATATAAGTTGATCAGAAACTGCTTTGAACTTTACCTTTGTCACACGTGTGTGAAAGTCACCAGATTCTCAGAACGACTGTGACAGCAACAACAAATACCCCAGTTGACTAAATGAAAAACTTGGATAGAAGGATTGTTAGAAGTTACTCATAAGTGAAATAAATCAGACCTGCATATGTAAACATCATATTGTCTCCCTAGTGTAAGAAATTGAAGAATAAAATCCAAAGGTAAAATAGATATTGTGAAAGGGAAAGAAACTGCTCAAAAGGAAAGAACAACTGGGATGGGGGAAAGGAGAAAAGAAAGAAAGAAGGAATTGAAAAAAAAAATATATATGATAGCTAAGATAATTGTACTACTAATTTTTATTGGTTTATTGAAAGGAAGAGTTGATGCTTAATTGTTTGATCAATTTTGCATGCCTGTATCTGGTAATTTGAACAAATACTTTGAAGATAACAATATGCAATATAACAACCATTGTTAATTTCCTATCATCTTGTTTTGAAATCCTGTATCATTTTTGTGTTTTTAATTTTTTTCTATTTAAAATAAAAAAGAAATAACTTTTTAATACGTTAGATTTATTTAAGTTAAACATATTTGTAAAAGAACCTTTCATTTCAATGCTAGTTTTACTCCAGGATCTTGATTCTTTCACTATGTCCTTTGCCCCTTCACTTTCCCTCCTGATCTACTTTTTTTAGGCTGGAAATCACATTTGAAGTTGTAATCTACGTACCCTTTTACTTATGTCAAGATATCTAATACTATCTAATATTACACTTTATAGTAAGAGCTGTCTCTCACTACTTTCCTTCAGATTAAGATAGGAAATTTAGCACAACAAAGCCTTTTAAAAATACTAACCTACTTTTGAAATTTTAAGTTTAGAAATTTTCTGATATGAACTTATTTAACACAAGTGATAATATAGTTATATTGCACCCCTAGTTTATTGAACATATATAAAATATCACATTTTCAAAATACTGTCTCTGGGCAGGTACACACCTGTAATCCTACCACACTGGGGGGATAGGGCAGGAGGACTGAGGTTCAAGCCTAGCCTGGACAATTTAGTGACTTAGCAGGGCCCTGTTTCCAAAGAAAAAGGGTTAGGGTTGTAGATCAGTGTGAAGGCTCTGAGTTCAATCCCCAGTACAAAAACAATGTTTTCTCTGAAGAATCTATGTATCAAGCAGCTTAAAATTTTAAACACATTAAAAATTGATCCTGAACATTTGGACAAGGTATACCTTGACATCTTTATAAAAAAATCCCCTCTATATGAATATTGCTATGTCCTTATGTACAAATACTGCTATATCATGTAATTTTCTCCATAAAATGAGCTAGGAATTACTAAAAATCTTAAGGGACCACTTTCAACTCTTAGTAGTGTCAATGCTTTCTTATACATTCTTGTTTTTATTGAATTTCTGAATACAAGATATTCAGAACTGGTTATGATAGAGTCCTTATTTATATTATGCTGAATACTTTTCAAAACTACTGATACACATTAAAAATTTCACATGCTTAGTGAGTACCCTTCAAAGATCTAAATTAAATTGAATGAAGAAAATCATTTTGACCCTGCTTTTTTTGTAAAATAAATGTAATAAAATAAAACTGTTCTGTTAACAAGAAATTGTAAACGGATACGTTTATTTCTCAGCAAGTGTAAGGTTGGTTGTCCTGCTTCTTAAGTGTTATCAAAACCACTGTGTCCAAATGACTACCAAAATATCCCACATTTTGATAGAAATTTATAACATGGCTAGTTTTTGATAGTATAAATTTTTCATATCACTTTCCTTTTCTTTCTTTAAAGTTTGCACACTGTTTGAATTACTTAAGTGATTCTGAAGTGATAAACCTTTTAAAGATTTAATGCGTTTAAAGGAAAAACATGTGTTTAGATAAGAGATTTTATTAGAAAATTAAGAGTTCTGATTGCTCGGTTTAATTAAAACTTCTTGTCTGTGTATTACTCAGGAAAACACTGACGTTGTAGTTGAAAGTTCCACGTGGCAAGAACAGATCCTTGAAAATGAAGAAGCCATTGCCCTTAGTAGGAAGAACAAAACAATTCAAAATGTGGAAGTATTTTGTTACGCCAGGTATGAAAAATATTTATTTAGGATAAACTAAATTAATGATTTCTTTTTCTCATTTACTCAGAAGAAACCAACAATAAGAATTCGATGGTGGTTATGAGTCAAATTTATATAATGATTTTTACTGGTTTTAAGCGTAAATTTCCAATTTTTATGTTTAGATTAGAATAATATATATATTTTTTTGTTTTTGTTTTTTGTTTTTTTCCGGTACAAGGAATTGAACTCATGACCTTGCACTTGCTAGGCAGGCACTGTGCCACTGAGCTAAATCCCCAACCCCTAGAATAATATTTTACATTAATGCCTAATGATTTACCAGACACTTTTAAATACATTTTTTCATTTGATCTTGTTTTGCAGTGGGGCAGATAGTATTAGTTACTTTTTTATAGAAGCCTTGATAGAGTTCAGACCTTATGTACCTTGCCAAAAGTTATGTGAGTTGGTGAAGCCCAATACTAAGCCCCAGTGTTCTTTATTTCTACTTTAGTGTTCCTCCGAGTACACTATCCTTCTTGAATGATGGCATAGCAAAATTGAAATTATAATTTTCAGTTTAAAAACTAAATTCAGTGGCTATAATATAAGGCCTGCTAAAAGTATGATGAATATTTAAGTTAAAAATCATTTAGTGAACACCATGTTTCAGTTAATCTCCCTCAAAATGCTCCCCTTTACTTCCAGCAAACTTACCTCATTATTCTCGACACTTTCTAAAGCAGTTCTGGATGTCCTTTCTCATGAATGCCTTTAATTATGCTGTGCTTACTGCCTTGATATCTTATATCAATTCAGAATGTTTACCTTTCATAGTAATATCGATTTTGGGGAAAAGAGAGATGTCACGTGGTACCAGATCTGGTGCATAAAGTGGATTAAGACATACTGTAATGTTGCATGCCACTTGCAGCAGCATTCACTGAATTTTGTTTTCACACTTACAAAACAGCAAGATATGTCTTTTCTTTGAGCTTTTGTTTTACCCTTAGTAAAACATGAAGGGTTAGATCTCTGGCAAACCTATGGCACTTGTGCTGCAGCGGGCTGTTCATATCATTGAAACCTGTACAAGGCTCACTGTCTCTGGACTAGCTGATCTCAAAAGTCTCTACGAGCTCTAACATGCTGCTTTAGGTACTAGGTTTCAAACTAACAAAAGGGAAGATCGCATCCGCAAGCTGCAAGCAGACTTTGGGCTATTTAGTGTGGTGGTAAATGACTTTCTACACCAGGAGAACCCTCAGTCCATCACCGTATTATATCACAGTGTCTTTAGGGAAAAGCTAAATAATGTCTTCAATCCTCTCTTGAAAAATGTAAACTGTATTTTAGAAAGATGCACATTAAAAATGATTAGAATAAAATTACCAGTTTAAGAGCTAGTTATCTAGAAAGTTTTCTTATTTCTTCTTCAGTAATAGAAGTGCTATGTATTAGACCTTTGACATTCTTGATGGAGAACTCGCAAAATCTGCATGAATACCCTTTTATGAACAATGACAAGTATTGGTACAAGTTCCTGACTCTGTTTTTGTGTTTTATTAATACCTGTGTTACATTCTGTGGACGTGTTGTGTCTGTATGTATTTAGTTCAGCACAATTTTATCACACATACAAATTTATGTACCCATCCCCACAGTTGGTACAAAACAGGACAATACCATTATCACAAAGATGCTTCTTGTTCTGTTTTTGTAATTCTACCTCATCTTCCTTTTTGCTTCTCTTTGTTCCCTCATCACCGGGCTGTAACTCCTGGCAAGCACTAATCTATTTTCTAACTCTAGACTCTTCTCATTTTGAGAATATTGTGCAGAGGGAACTGTATGGTGTGTAAACTTCTGGGAATGGTTTTTTAAGGTCAGCATAGTTTTCTGGAGGTTCATACAGGTTGTTGTGTACATCAAAGATTTATTCATTTTTCTTCTGCTGAGTAATATTTGGTGATACAGATATAAGCTGTTTAATCATTCACCAGTTGAAAAGCATGTGGTCTTTTCCCAGTGTTTGGCTGTTAAAAATAAAGCTGTGATGTGTTTTGTGCACAAATTCTTATGCGAGCAGTCCTCAAAGAGAAATGTTCGTTTAGGATAAAGGTTTTCTTCTTTTTTTTCTTTTTGTGATATAAATATCCAACTCTGAAATTGCTGAATCGTATGTTAATTGCATGTTTAGTACTTTTTTTATTAAGTGCCATGCTCTTTTCCAGAAGAGCTACATTATTTTAAATTCCTGCTGGAAATATGTGAATAATACAGTTTCTTCACATCTTTACCTGAATTTGATGTTGCACTTTTTAAATTTTAGCTATTGTGATAGGTGTGTGGTGATACCTATTTGTGATTCTAATGTGCATTTCCCTAATGGCTGAGTTTGAATATCTTTTCATGTGGTTATTTACCAGTCATACACCATTTTTGATGAAATGTTTATTAATGCCTTTACTGAGTTTTAATTGGATTTTTTTACTATTTTTTCTTGGCTTCTGTATTCTTTTATGTTGTTTGCCCAAAATGTGATTTGAGGAATATTTTTTCCAGTCTATAGCTTATCTTTTTATTCTCTTTATATGGGATATTTTACAGAACAAATAGTTTTCCTTCTAATGAAGTCTAGTTTAACTTTGTTTTTCTTTTATGGATTATACTTTTGGTGTCAACTCTGACAACTCTTCCTAGTTTTAGATCCAGAAGATTTTTTTCTATTCTTTTAAAATGTTTTATATTGTATATGTAAATCCATGGTCTACTTTGAGTTGTTTTGTAGAACATGTGAGGGTCAGGTCCATGTTTTTTGCTCTTGCCTTCCCCCCAGGCCATCTAATTGCTTCAGCAACATTTGTTGAAAATGCTGTTCTGTACTGGCGTGGGTGTATATACCGGGGTGGGTGTATTTCCGGGTTCTTTATATTATTATTTCATTGACCTTTATGTGTGTGCTTTTTCACTAATATTACACTGTCTTCATTACTGCAGCTAAATAATAGGCCCTGATATCTGGTAGAATGATTCTACCCAATTTTTTTTTCTGTCAAGATTGTTTTAGATATTCTAGAACTTACGACTTTTTGTATAAATGCTTTAATAAGCCTGTGTTTTAAAACGTTGGTGGACATTTGAAGGTAATTGTTGTATTGGTGGAGATTTGAAAGTAATTGTTTATAGATCAGTTTAGGGGAAAATTGACACCTTTATTATTTTGAGTCTTCCAGTCAATTAACAGTATATACATATGATTTATAGAGATTGTCTTTGATTTATTTCAACAAAATTTACCAATTTTTAGCTCAGTTTTGCTATGTATGTTTTGTTAATGGTACAGTGAAGTATTTTATTTTCTTTGGAGCATTTATAAATGTTATTTTTAATTTTGGTTTGCACATAATCATTTATATTATCTAGAAGTATAGTTGATTTTCATAGGTTGCTCTTGTATGTATACTGAATTCTTGTTGCACTCTCCTATTTTGTGAATACTTTTTGTTATTTTCTCGCTGTTTCCTGCCTACGCAGTCCTTCTTCAGGGATTAGTTTTCCATGAGCTGCTTTCTTTTTTTTTTAAAGAAACTCTTTTTCTTTTGAGAATCATGTATTTTCTACCCACAGCCACATATAACAAGTTAATTATAATTTCTAGTTATCTTTAAGCTTACTTAATGAGCCTTTTTCTCAGAAAGGATGTTATTATCACATTCTTAGTACTTTGTAATTATTCACCAACACTGTCCAATCATTTATGGTCTCTTATGTACTAAATATATTGTTCCAGTTCTTGCACACTACTGTATTAACATAGGCAATTCAAATCAACAATCTGGCTAAATGACAAATTACCAAAAGTATTATATTTTACTAGTCATTCACACTAGGCATTAACTCTGTTTAGGTGTATCAAGCAATACAGATAGAGCTTCCAGAATCTGAAGTGGTCCAAAATTCAAACCTTTTTGAAATGCTACCAATGGAAAATTTCACATCTAACCTTATGTGATAGGTTACGGTCAAAACACAGGCTCACTAAAAAATGCAGTATAATATTACCTTCAGACCGTGCATATAAGGTGTATATGAAACATACATGAATTTTATATTTAGACTTCACTCCCATCCCCAAGATAGTCTCATTTTGTATATGAAAATATTCAAAAATCGGAAAAAATCCAAAATTTGAAAGATTACCTATCTCAAGTATTTCAGATAAGGGATATTCAACCTATAGAGAGAAGTAAAATTTAAATACTTTGTGTACTCTCACTGTCACTCTCTCAATCACTCTCCCTCTGTATGTTGTAAGTGACTATTTATTCTGTGGTGAATACATAGGATAGTTGTTACCTTTTTATTATTGCATGCTTGCAATACAGAATAGCAACGTTCATTTTGGGGAATTGGTACATTCATGTGACATATCTTGATCATTTTCAATTCCTTTATTTTCAGCTCCCTTTTACTCCACTCACCACTGATCCCCATCTTCAAGAGTGTAGCTTCTACTTTACTATTATCTCTCCTTTATTGTGTACATTCACTTATTTATATTTTAGGTTTCTCATGTAAGGTAAAACATTTGCTTGCTTATTTTGTTTATCAAGATGTTCTCAAGTTCTCTTCATTTTCCTTAAAATGACACAATTTAATTCTTTGTGACTAAAAAAAAAGGGGGGCGTGCTGGGGATTTAGCTCAGCGGCAAAGCGCCTGCCTGGCAAGTGCAAGGTCATGAGTTTGATTCCTGGTACTGGAAGAAAAAGACAAATAATAATAATAATAATAATTCTTTGTGACTGAATAATATTCTTCTGTGTATGTATACCACATTGTATGCATCCATTTATCCACTTATTGACACCAACTCTATTTTAAGAGCTTAGCTATTGTGAATTGTGCTGCTATAAATGTGTGTATCCAGATTTCACTATAGCATGATGCATATGATTCTTCTGGGAATATACCTATGAGAGGTATAGCTGAGTCAAAAGAAATTTCTACTTTTAGCTTTTAA